AGGGAAAATCACAATTGCGGCGAAGTTCTCGCGTACTCTATTATGCGAGTGGACATTTCATTCACGCAGTGCCGCTTCAACTCGGATAGTTTTTGGATAACAAGATAAAAATTGTTAATTGTCGGTCCACTTCATAGACAATAGCGATTCATGTATTATAAAATATGCACTGCGTCGAGAGACAAAGAGAAACCAATATAATGATCTCAAATAATATACATATAACTTTTTCGGTAACAAGGGTTTTTCTTTTTGATACTGGTTTTGTAAAGAATATGGTTTCAAGGTTTCCCAGGTGCGTAAGAAATAAAGTAGAACGAAAGATGAGGGGATGATTAATCGTTTCCAACGCGATAAGAGTCCACTTTGCGAGGGAGTATTTGTACAGTGGCGGCAGCGAGTTATCGGCGAGTTATTGGAGTTTTCTCGACTGTATAGCTCGCGCGCGTGTCGAGTGGGGTTACGTTAGAAGGGGGCAACGGTGGAAGAGAAAAGGGATGGATGGCACGCGGGAGGAAGAGGCGGCAGATCTAACGATATGGTGGGGAGAGCGGCGGTGGTGCTCGGCCGTTGCATTGTGGGGGTGTTGGCCTTCAACTTGACGGCGCAGTTTCACTGACCTGCCTGAGAAACCCGCCAGCACCGTGTGTCGGGGACCTACGAACGCATCCACGACGCCAAAGGGTACCGCTACTTAAGAGTCCATCGGGCCCTAAACAGACGCTGCTCTCGACGACGAACGAGTGTGGAAGCCAACGCATTCGATATGTTAACTTTGTAGCTTCTCGATGTGTGGTTTGACGGCTCACACATGAAAAACCAGTGTTTCTAGAAAATTCTATGTTTGTACGAATTTCCCGAGAGAGGGAAATTCAGTATGGAGGTCGATTCTTAACAGACATCTAGTTTTCTGATAAAATATCGTTCTCTGAAAGAAAAAATAAGAAATAAGTAAATTTTTTAAATAAAATTGAGAATGCACAATAGCATTTCTCTCTTTCATATTTTACATTATATAATTTTTTATATAATAATTTGAAGGCGTAATATTTTACATCTCAATGATAGTTTGCGTAAAAGTTTCGTTTTTCCGTTCTAATTTTTCGAAAATACTGGTTGAAGTCTCAAGTAGATATCCAAGGAGAAGTGTCTCTCAGCTGAGACATACGTGGGCGTCATTAAAGCAAAGACGAGCAGATGGCCCACGGAACTTCGTTGAAACGTGTTACTTTGACCTTTCTAAGAAACACAGTAGTAATAAGAAATAACTAGATTTTCGAAAAATTCGTTTAAGTGTCTATAACATTAAAGTATTAGGTGTACAAGTATGACTTTACGGATCTTCAATAGATGGCGGTATAGTTATACTGCTGTATTATTTAAAGTTGGCAATACATGTACTTGAAAGGTGTATACGCGGCTTTAAAACGTAGTACATTTCATTTGACTAAAGTATAAACAACTATTATTTTTATCGCATTGAAATGTCAAATTTTGTACCGGAAAAAATGCTATTTGCGGGAAGTTTTATTTCATTATTTCATTATTTTTTTCTAAAGAAAAGTGCAGCTGAAAGTCATCGTTTACTTGTGAAAGCTTACAAAGAACATGCTCTATCGGTAAGCATGTGTGAAAAATGGTTTGAACGATTCGGAAGCAATGATTTTGATTTGGATGATAAAGAGCATATGAAGCCATCGAAAAAATTTGAAGATGCACAATTGGGAGCATTACTTGACGAAGATGCATGTCAAACAGAAAAAGAATTGGCAACAGCATTAAATGTTGCTACAAATTAATACGTTTGAACCAAGCTGCGAAGGAAAAACAACCGGAATGGGAGAATAAGACATGACAAGATAATTTTACAGCATGACAACGCCAGATCACATGTTCATGAATCCGTCAAGAATTATTTAGAAAGAATGAACTGAGAGATTTTATCTCACACGTTGTATTCACCAGACATTGCTCCCTCAGATTACTATTTGTTCCGGTCCATAGCGTTGGCCCTTTCTAGAGAGCGGTTATCTTATGAAGAAATCAAAAATTGGCTTGATAATTGGATCGCTTCAAAACATTCAGACTTCTATCAGCGTGGAATCCGTTTATTGCCTGAAAGGTGGGTCAAGATTATGGCTTCCGATGGAGCATACTTTGAATAAAGTCATGATGTATGTTATGTCAAATCAATGCGTTTTTTTATCAAAAAATTCGTAAAGTCATACTTGTACACCTAATAATTTTCGCTAATCGATACACAAGCAAATTTAAAATTCAAATAAGGATTATCAAGGAAAAAAACATCGATATAGGGTTTAGAAAAGACAAATTTAGAAACATTGGCGCAGCCTATATATTCGACGCCCTATGCATTCGAGTTACACGGAGCGTCTATAATGCAGCCATGAGGCGCGTGGAAGCCTGTAACTATTGATCCTGCAGCCTTTGGGGAGCCACTGCTGCTGCTGCTGCTGCTACTGCTGCTGCCGCCGCTACTGCCGTCGCTGTTGCTGCTGCGGATTTAGCAACGTCACGGACGCGTGATGTATCGTAGGAATGAAGAGACACAACTCCATCGAATAGCATTCGTTTATAATTGTACTCACACCCGGGGACCAACGTGTCTTATACGTATCAGTTATGAGTAACAAGCCTTCTTCGACGAACAGAAAGAATAAATTTGCGGTTACCTCGTTGGCAATTATTATTTTACGATGGTGATATCTCCCCGAATCGTCGTGGATCTTTGTCGCGACTGCATTTGAACGAACTGAAGTCTCTATCGTTGCGCACTCTATGCGCACTCAAGTTGACTTGAGATCGAATCCGGATTCGAATCCGGATTCGCTGGTCTACGATTCCACGGTACGTACGAAACACGGCGCGGCGTATCAAGAAAGATCAACTGAAAGGTCCCGGACTTGTTCCTTTCGATTCTCTCTTCTCGTCCTCTCTCGTCCCTTAGACGAAGCGAACAAAGCAAAGGGTCTCCGAGCAAGCAGCGTTCTCTCTGACGGACGGGGCCTTCTTTCTTTCCCTCTCCCTCTCCCCCCCATCTCTCTCTCTCTCTCTCTCTCTCTTTTCCTATCTCTTCGTCTCGCCTCACCTTGGCCGCGGCCCTTCAACTGTCTACGACCCACGCCCCACCTTCTCCTCTTTCTCCGTTTGTGCCACCACCATCGGTACCATCACCAACCACCATCGCCACCTTCCTCGAGGTTCTACGAGCACGGCAACCTTCCTCTCCTTGGCGGGTCTTCGCTCTCCTGCCGCGGACCGTATACCTGTGCACAAGTTCGTTTGCACGCATGCACGCGCGCGCGCCCGGGTATTCTCCGATCTACCTCGTCCACCTGCCTCTACCTCGACGCGGAGTTATTTAGCCGAACCAAAGCCGCTCCGGTTCGCCCTAGGCGAATTTCCGGAATAAGGCAAAGAGAACCTTCGAGAAGCGGAAACTCGGCTGGCGAACACGCGGTTAAAGTTGCACGCGAACAAAATCTTCTCTTTGAGGATTTTCTACTTGTGCATCTAGAAATACAAAAATTTCATTTCGAAACTGAAATGTTTTCGAATGGTCTTAAATAGTTACACTGATGTGAAAAATAAAAAAAATTGATATTTCCAATTTTAATAATTAAATAAAAATATATTTAATAGCTATTTAATGTATGCACAAATAATATATATACGAGTTCTATCAAGTTCTTGCAGTGGCTCGTGCAATATGCAGCTAAATGGAATTGCGGCTCTAATAGCATTCACGCCCTCGGGACAATCTCTCACGGTCTCTCTCATACCCTCTGACAAGTCAGTCAATTTCTTTGCTGTACGCGTGTCGCCAATCATCTACCGCCACGTTTCGTTCCGTATCGACATTAGAATTACGCATCGCAGCGGCCCTGAAGAAACGGAAATACCGTCCGTGACATTGTCGCGCGCATGTCACGCTTACGCAAAGATATCGCTAGGTCTCGTGCCCTTCGTCTAGCCGGGAGGCGAGTTTCCAAGTGCATTCTATCTACACGCGGACAAAGTAATTCTGAAGAATTTATCCGTGGCCTTGCTCCCGCCTTCACGCTCTTTTGCCCTGAATTCTGCCCGTCGTTTTTCGCTTTCTTACACATGGCACGCGTTTGAAAATGCAAAATTTAATTGCGATAAAGGGGGGAGAGAGAGAGAGAGAAAAAAAAAGCGCTGATCGCGAAAGAGAGAGATAAAAAAAAAAGCTGTATGGTATGCGATGCAACATATGTACGTCGCCTTCTCTCCTTTCATCGACGAAGGAGAGAGTGAACTGAATGAAAGGGAGGCTTGAGAGGGGGGAGAGTGGAGGATAGAGCGAGATTGAGAAGGATAAAGACGGAGAAAGAGAAACGGAAGGTTCCCAGGATGAGCGCGAGAAGGAAACGACAGAGTGGAGTCAGGAGCGAAGGAAGGAGGGAGGAGTGGTTCACCTGCATTGCTAGCATTGCGCTGGCTCAAGGCCAAAGAGTCTGCGAGACCGAGGACCAGACCGGGTCGGGACCTCCTTCCTTCCAGTTTCCTGCACCCTGCTCTCTCACCGCACCGCGCCACTCTCTTCTTGCTTCACGGTGTGCCTACTGCATCGAGTCCTCTCCTTTTCTCTCTTCTCGGTTCTTTCCTTCACGCTGTGCCCCTCTATAATACGCAAACAATTGCATCACGGACGCGCTGCTGCGTTTGAAGGCTTATTACGCGCATGCGGGCAGTTTCGTGTTCCGACATAAAATATGAGAAATAAAAAAACTCGCGTGCCACGAGGGTGCACAGTAGCATAATAATTGTAATCAATTTTCTCTCGTTATGCTACAGTACATAATATTGATATTTTTTTCAATGATTCATTTATTCAATTATGCTTATAAATAGAAAACATAGGCAGATAGCTGCAGGTATTAAATATTTAATCATCGAACAGAATCAACAGTATGTATGCTAAGTAACAAGAGTTTTTTTTCTTTATTTGATTGCAGGCTGCAAGATCAAGGCCCTCCGAGCAAAGACGAACACCTATATCAAGACACCAGTGCGCGGTGAAGAACCCGTCTTTGTCGTCACCGGTCGCAAGGAGGACGTGGCCCGTGCGAAGCGCGAGATTCTTTCCGCCGCGGAACATTTCTCGCAGATTCGCGCGTCGCGTAAGAGCTCGTTGGGCGCTCTTCTGGGTGCGCCACCCGGACCACCCGCGACGGTGCCCGGTCACATAACGATTCAGGTACGAGTGCCCTACAGAGTAGTGGGTCTGGTCGTAGGCCCTAAGGGCGCGACTATCAAACGAATTCAGCATCAGACGCATACCTATATCGTGACGCCCAGTCGCGACAAGGAGCCTGTGTTCGAAGTGACGGGACTACCGGAAAGCGTGGAAGCGGCCAGACGCGAAATACAGGCTCACATTACCCTGCGAACCGGCACTGCACCTGGCGTTGTCGATGATACTGATCTGCTGGGCGTACTCTGCCGCGGCGGTCTCGGCTCTGTTCTCGGTATTCAAAGTATGGACCAACCGGGATCGAACAGCTCCAGTAGTTCTAATGGAGCGTTTTCGAGCAGTGCCAGCTGCAGCAGTTCGTCCAGCAGCACCGGTGGAATAGGGATGAACGACCTCGTCGCTATTTGGAATGGAATAGAGAGGGACGAAGGAATTGGCGAGTCGCCGTCATTCGAGTCGCAGCCGACCTCGACATCGTCAATCTGGTCGTTCCCGAGCGTCGCGCTACCCTCGAGGCCGTCGCCACCGGCGACAGCGAGCCCGGCGTCGCCCACGGATTCGCTTTTGGGCGGCGCACGACGGGACTGCGTCGTTTGCGGCGAGAAGGAAGTCACCGCGGCGTTGGTACCCTGCGGACACAATCTCTTCTGCATGGACTGCGGCAATCGGGTCTGCGAGAATCAGGATCCAAGCTGCCCGGTATGCTCCAGACCTGTCCTGCAGGTGCTTCGTATTTTCTCCTAAGAGGGACTCCGCCGAGTCGCCGCCCGTCAGTCTCCCGTGTCGCGACACCCGGTGTATCCGCAACGGCTGCATCAGCAATTTACCTTCTACCACTCTTCGAGCATGGCCGGTTAATAACTGTTCCAGCGGGCATGACGACTAAGCTGGAAAACAACGTTAGCGCCCGCGACAACGACGATGCCTGCGCGATAATCCTCTCGGCAGTCCTCAAAGTTGGCCTTTTTTCTTCGCTGTCATCGCTGTCATCGCTGTCGTCGTTGTCGCCATCGTCATCATCATCATCGTCGTTGTCGTCATCATCATCCTACCATGCCGGTGTGACGCCGTCGTCAGGGGACCGAACGCGCACAAAGTCTCAGTTCCACGGCTGCCAATAATCTCTTTTAACGCGACGGGGATTCGCCTCGACGTTATCGACCGTTTAGGGCCGATCGTCGAGTCTATCGAGTTCCCGCTGACCGGATACAACGAAGCCAGCTTTTAAGTTCTACGAGATATATATTTAAAGAGACAGAGATAAGGATGGAAATACTGATCCATCGTCATCGTCATCGCTTCCCCTTACCCTCCTTCCCTTATATTCCAACCGCCTGTACCCCTTCCCGTCCCTTGACGCTTGCATAGATTGGGCTCGCGGCTCGTCGAGTATATTCTAATAAGCCTCGAGGTATGAGAGTGACGGTACGAGGGCACCAAACGAATAACTCCCACCGTACCGTCCGGACTAACATGCGAGAAAAAAAGCCTCTCTATTGCCCGCAAAAGCTCGACGTTGCAATATTATGCGACTGATATTACTAGTAGCGAGACTGATGATTACCGAGACGCTACTCTCTTTTCTTTCTACCGGAGGCTACACAGTCCGAAATGAATCGATCAAGTCACGGACCCGTTTAGCCTCATCGCCGAACTTTTTGACTATACTCAACACACACCGCCGGTGTTTCGCTGTTTTTTAAAACTCTGCTCGTTCCTGAGATCTTTTTTGGGTCGAACGTTTGCTGGGAACGGAGGCGGCTTGTCTCATAGCATGATGGACTTAGAGCTTTGTCGATTTTCCTTTTCATATACTTTTTAACAACTGACTGAATGATCAATCACGTTCAAATCATGTCCAAAGAGATAACTTTCCATTTTTTGACTGCTTCTAGCTTTGTATATCATATTCGGTCAAAGCATGCTTATATTCGTATCTTCGACTGTAAATCTTTTTAATCGGTGATGAAACAAGAAGAAGATACGTATCTTAACGTTTTATTTGTCTAACCTGCGATACTTGATTTTGTGCCAAAAGGGCTAGACAAAAGAAAGATTTTCTCGATAATTTTGCAAAGATTGCGCACCGGACAACTCTTGCGACTTCTCGCAAGCTGCACTTATATATTTTTCCTATTTTTCTTTACAAAAAAAAAAAGAGCGTACAATATAGTTTTGATCTCAGCGTTCGCTTGGGACGCGCGTAGAAAGTGTTAAGTTCATCGATCCAGAAAGGGGTTTTCCGTTGCCGAGTGTACAATTACGAACTCGACGAACCTGCGAGCTGCGGTCGCTAGTGCGACAGCGAAGATTACCGAGAATTATCTACACGTACACGAGTCGCAGACACAAACACACGTACACATACACACATACATACACATACACACACTGGATACACTAATAGATGATCTCGCACAGACATCCTACACGTGAAAAAGAGAGGGAAAAAGAAGAGAGGGTCACGGGCCCCTCGATTCGCCACGAAATCACGTAGTGAATATATAGCGGACGGCGCGTTCGTTCCACCCGGCTTCCCTCGCCATTAGAGTATTATCTTAAAATGATATCTTTATATAAGCGAAATAGCAATGGAAAAATATAATAGCTCTAATATATTATAAATATAAACAACATGTATACATATATATATTTAAATATTGTGTATATATTTATATATATATGTATATGTATATACGACGTCTGACCGTGGGTACGAAAGCGAGAGAAAAAGGGGCGTGTACGCGTGTGTGTGAATGAAAGAGAGAAACATAGGCGGCGAATGATATTTTGTCGACGAGATCTAGATTTTGTATTTTTCGCGCATTTCGCCGACGGGACGACGGGTGGTCTTTTGGGCCGTAACGCCATAGAGAAAGAGAGAATTATTGACATATTATCTAGGAATATGTTACATGATGCGTAGAGAAAATGGAAAATTGCAGAAAATTATGCGAATAAAAAAAAATAAGAGGGAGAGAATAGAACGCAACGCGTAAGTCGAGGGGCCGCGCGTCCGCTCTCGGGCAGGAAGAACGAGCGCAAAAAACGGGGTCGGTCGATGGCGCCGACAACTCTTGCGAGTTGTATTTTTCAACTCGTGATAATCGAGCGGATCGTTTAAATCCGATGCTAAACGACACTCGTTTCACGTTAGGGATCGATGATGCATACGTAGTAGCGTTTTTTTTGTTTGGAAAGACATAATCATGTATTATCGCTATATTACCTTTGCATCAATATAAATATATATATATCTATATATATGTATGTATACCGCATGGATGTATATCGGATTGTGGATCCGTCATATACGTCCATATTATTCTATATACATATACCATATATCACTGTACCGCTTCCTCTCCGAGATCGCTGGAAGGAAGGACGAATGCCGAACGTCTCTCATTACTTTCAGAGACAGATGGAACTATGACGTCGTCCTATCTCCCCCGTTCTCGTGGACGAACATCGTGCTTTCGCTAGGGCGATTCTTAAGGGCCCCCCCATTAAATGCGAGAGTGCAAAACCGCGACGTTCGTCCTTCGTATCCATGAGAGGGAGCTCGGTACATGTTCCTACGACCTGTTTCTGCATATATAATCTCGTTTCGAAGAAAGACGAAAGAGGGGAAAGAAGCTAATCAAACGGGGGTTTCACAATGGGAGCCCTGTAACGCGCGTGACAGGAGAGACGATACTCCGAATTTTTACTCGAACAACAAACGCGATAGCTTAAAACGTTAATTGCGAGAGGTACTATTCCGCGCATTTCCGTTTTTCCTCGCTTCGACGTCGAGTTTATTCCACGTTCCCACTTTTTCTTTCTAACCCACATCATAATCTCCTCGATTTCTCCACCTCTTCCCCTCTTCCCGCATTCCCGAATCTCCTTCGTCGTTGTCTGCATTTATATTTTTTTATCAAAAGTTCTTGTCAATCGTTGCCATTTTTTAAACGAATATATGCTCAAGTCGCAGCTCCGAATAAGTCGAGATATATAATACATATTACATATATTATATATAAATATATATATTATATATATTTAAATCGCCCATCTTGTGATGGACGTTGGAAGATGAAAGAGAATATTTTTTCGATTTTTCTGAACATAAAAGACTCGACCTTCTTGTTTATTTTTTATTCTTTAATTTTCGTCGCGCCAAGATGTCTCCGTTCGTCGTGTACCGCTTCGTTTCGTGTTTTTTCACTCCAGTTCCTTTTATATTTCCCGTATTATACCGCGCAGATCTTCGTTCTGGACTCTCCTTTATACACGCATTCACGCACGCGTGATACACGAACGAAGACTCGCACTCCACTCACGCACTCACTCCGCACGCGCTAAACGCACGCTAAAAATAAATTCTCGCGTACGCACGAGCTCCGGGTGGTGCGCGAAAGACATGCGCGAACGATATATGTGTATATTATTATTTGTTACTTGTATAACGTCACAAACGAACACTTCACGGACACAAACGAGAATGAACATACAACACCTAAATACGTACACATCCACGCGTAACACATGAAAGATACACGTGCACCAATAACACGTTGATGCATAACAGAAACGTATATTTATATATTATAATAATCGAGAAGTAAAGAGAAAAAAAGAAGTTTATTTTATATTTAAGTTCGAGGTAAAATAAATTCTATATTTTTTCTATGTTAAGTATAAAGAAAAAAAAAAGATGTGGTAAAAAAAAGGTATGGTGATGTGGAATACACATACACATATATATATACATATATATAAATTATATTATTATATTATATATATATACACACTAATATAAAATATATTTATAGGTATTCTCTTTAGCATCTACGTTCCGAAAGACGCCGCGCAGCCGCGAGCGCGAAAAATGGCAGGCGGGTAGCATGTACGTGCGTATTGGTCGTATATGTAGATCGTGTCAGATAATCTCTCATTAACTTTGCTATAATAAGTCTGAGAATCCGTTCTGAATCTCGCGGGCGCGAGAGATGGAAAAGGGAGAGAGCGATAAAGAAAAGGGAGAGACGGACAAACGCTAACGAAAACCGAGAGTTTTTAAGCGGGAAATCACTCTAGAAAGCGAGAGACAGAGCGGGAAGGAAATCTCATCAATTCCACGTATATATGCGTGCGTTTATACATTTTGATTGGATCACTGGATGTATGGAGAGAGAAAGATATTACAATAATATATTATATATTTAAATTAGCGATCGCGAGAAAAGAGAGAGAGAGAGAGAGAGAGATATATATATATATATAAAACAAGACGCCGATTACTTATTATTCCACGGCGAAAAGTTCTCTATGGGTGCGCGAAGAGAGAAACACACGCGGATAAAGAGAGAGAAAGAGAGAAGCGTGAAAACTTTCGGAAACGAAAAAAAGCTTGGATTTAAAAAATAGAGGGTCTAACGAAGGAAATGATAGTAGGTTAAACGGGTGAGAGAGAATGAGGGGGGTGAAGGATATAGGGTGGTTGCCAGAACTCGGAACGTGACGCCAAACTCAAACGGAAGAACGTCGCGTGTGTGGGCAGGGAGCTGGAGAGGGGATACGGAAGATTGATCAAATTTCGGCATTTTCCTTCTTTTTTTTTACGATCGAATGCTGATAGTGGAGTTCGGGAGTTTGAAATATATTGAAACGTGGTACGAGTTCGTTCGAAGTTCCGACGTACATCCTCCAATAAGGAAAATGTAGATCGCTTTAATCTCTCTAATCATTCGTTATTAAGTGGTGCTTTTAGAAATGAATATGAAACGGTAAATCATCGTATACGTTATAAGAATCAGTGCGTGCGATTTGATTGCGTCTCTTTCGGAGTTTGATTTTTATCACGCGTTGAGAGCTAAAATTCTTCGAGGGGTAGTTTCTCGCGTAATTACTCAGTCTTCCTTACGGTCGATTCTTTTTGCGTTCGAACCGTGTTTCGGCAACTCTCGAGAGTATTCATTGTAACGACGGAAAAAAGTTCGGATTAAAACGTTTAGTAATCCACGAGAGGGGGGGGGGGGGGAATGGGGGGAATGGATATCTCGCAGGATGAAAGCTCGTCGAGAACCTCCGCTAGACTTCGGGACAATCCTTGTTGTAATTAACACGTTAATCGAAAAAAATACACATACAGGCGCACAGAAATACGAGCATTTGGGTAGTCTTTACTTTGGCCGAGGTTCCGACATCGCAGGGTCGTCGGTGTGTTGTCGTTGGCCTCACGATCGTCCGCTTCATCATGCGTACACGTGCTCGCTATGTGTACGCGTCTCTTTCCTGGTTTGGTTAAATTGATACTCGACACTAAATGTCACCGCGATCCAACGTCTCGAATTTCGATCGACTCGGAAAACCGCGCGATCTCGTTTAAAGCTCACGTTCATTCACTGCGAAAATGTAAATCTATGATTGTCGCTTCATCGCCGTTCGCTATCGACACCGCAACAGGGGAAACGTAGGACAGACGTAATTCGTGTAATTTAACATAGTGCCATACGTAAATCAAAAGCTGACCGCGCGCCGATAAGTGATAATAAACGAGCGGTAGTTTAGCTAATCGTCAATGGTAATGAAGCGTGAGTCGGGAAAATCGCCATGATTATTTCGCGGCTATCGAAATGTCGATAGCGAGAGAGAGAGAGAGAGAGAGAGAGAGAGAGAAAATTCTTGACATCGCTCTCCACTTCTTTGAAC